AGTCTAAAACATCAACAAAATTTTCTTACGCCAAAATCGGTCGATTTTAGCGTCTTTGAGTAATTAACACAATTAAGTAAAGATTCCGTAGGTAGCGTTGAAAGACTTGAACTGTACATGAGCACCGATGGTCCAAAACATTGACATGATTATCTTACACCAAAATCGGTTGATTCGAGGGTCTTGGAACAATATACACAGTTATATAAAGATTTCGCAGGTAGCGTTCAAAGACTTGTATTGTACGTAAGTAGCGATGGTCTCGAACATTAACATAATTTTCTTACACCAAAATTAGTTGATTCGAGAGCCTTGGAAGAATAAACATAATTAAATAAAGATTCCGTAGGTAGCGTTCAAAGACTTGTATTGTACATGAGTAGCGATGGTCCAAATCATTGACATAATTTTCTTAGGCCAAAATCAGTTGATTCCAGCGTCATGATACAATGAACACGTTAAAATAAAAATTCCGTAGGTAGCGTTCTGGGACGTGTCTTGCACACGAATAGCGCCGTATGGTCAAAAACATTGACAAAAGTTTCTTACGCCAAAATTGGTTTATTCGAGCGTCTTGGAATAATAAAAAAAAAAATGTACAAGCAGACAAGAAATGGATATGGAAAAAGGGAGAAAGTTACAAGGCGAATACAGAACAAGGAACCGTGAGATATTGCGAAAGAAGCCAAACAATACAGAGAGAGCAGGGAGGGGCGAGAGAAACGCAGAAAGTATCAACAAGAATACAGAAAAAGAAATAGAGAAAAGCTGAAAGAATAGGAAAGGAGTCGCTTTATAAAGAAGAAAGAGGACCGCAAAGTTGAAGAAGAGAAGGAGCAAGTTTACTGATGGTAATCAAAATTTAGAAGAAGAATCGAGAATCCTTTCTAATGAAATAGAGCAACTCCACAATCCGAGGCAAGGGGAAAACAACAATGAAGAAAGACAGATTTTAGCAAAAAACTCTAGGAGATTGTTTGACGAAATAGAGGAACTATACAACCTTATAAACAGTTAAACAAAGAAAAGCTTATTGAGCTCAGCTCAATAAGTAATATTTGTTGACGGAAAGAAAGGAGGATGTGGCATCGTTTGGGAGCCGAACCTACTTTGTAAGGCTTTTGGAGAAAGACGAAAGGCAAATAGAGAGAGACGAACAAGAGTAAGATAACTCGAGTATTCTTCTTTGGAAGCTTGAAATACTGTCTGGTTCTTTCTCCGCCGCTATTCTTCTTGCGGACATTTTTAACAAAATTGTTAAGGAGATTGTCGAGAGCAGCAGCAGGTATGTTCATTACATTAAAATATCCATCGACCTGCTCGCAAAACCTGTCAAACTTTTTCCACTCGTATTTCGTCTTTTTCACAGTGTTTGACGACCTTTGGGCGGCGATGAAATCATCTACTTCTCGACTCGAGTTGTCTTCATCGAGCTCGTCTTTCTCCATTCGTCGCTTTGTCTTCCTCCAAAATCTGGAAGAAACCAACTCTGCAATCTTTCTTGTGATTCTGTCTTGAGCACTCCCTTGTCTTTCACACATTCTTCCTTCACCTTCCTTCTCAGCGGCCTTTTCTTCTGCTGCAGCTCTCTCCTCCAACCAATTCCTCTTATCCTCCCTAGCGCTCCATTTCACTTCCTTAACTTTTGCACTATACGCCTCTCTCTATCGGCGTTACAGTCGTTCCTATCACGCACCCTCTATTTTCAGTTTTACCTCTTTCCTCTCTTGAATTTTTTTCCACGTTTTGACTCCTATCCATGGCTTGCTGTGCTTTTTTGAAATTCCAATAACTTTCTCTGCGGCATCTCTGTACGTAGCCAAGGTCTTGTCGTGCTCTTCTTCTGGATCTATTGTATCTCCTGGCGCTTCAAACCCGTTCTTCACTTTAATGTAATACCTCCTCCTGATCTCTTCACTTCGCAGCCTACATACGTCAAACCTTATCTTTGCTTTCTCCTTCCCATGCACCACTGCCAACTTTAGACTTATTCTGGATATGAAGGAATTATTGAAACTCGCTGAGCAATCATTTGATTCTTACTTTATAAGAAACCCTTATTAAAAGACTTTCTCATAGGCGTTTACTCGTTAAAAATACGCCCACGAAATGCCTTTTGAATGACAAATATGAAATTTGTTTTTTTAGTTCGTGGTTGCAACTTATATTTACATTACTAAGTAAACGGAGACAGTTCGAAAGTAAAAAATAATCAAGTTTGTATGCACATTAAAAGAAAGCAAACCTATCTGAGGAAGTTTCTGGGGAGATTCTAATTGGAAGTACAATTTAAGTGCTTAGGGCTGAGCAGTTTCTGTTGAGACGAAATATCTCTCGTCGCTATAACAGGTAACATACGGGAGAAAGAAAATCAACAATTTTTTGAGCTACGAAGTGATGGCGACAACAAACTTAATAGGAGGTAAAACACAATTTATAAGAATCGGCTTTATAAAACTAATTGGTACGTGAGTTGCATTGACAATCAATTTCCTTCACAGCGGTGCACATTTTCTTTTCCGTGACAGCATTTCTTGGGAACTATCTGATCCTTGTTTCCCTTCACAAGGAATCTTCCCTCCATCCACCGTCCAAACTCTTGTATCGTTGTTTGGCAACAACTGATCTGTCGGTTGGCCTTGTTGCCCAGCCTCTCCATGCTACCCTGAGCTTTTCGTATTCCTGGTCTCTCGAAGACTGGAGAATTTTCCAATACATAAATGACGCGGACATCATCACAAGCCATATGTTATGTGGAGTGTCTTTATTGACGATGACAGCCATAAGCGTGGACAGACTGCTCGCCATGTTGTTGGGGCTTAGATACAGACAAATCGTAACTTTGAAGCGCACATATATTGTTTTAGTTAACTTTTGGGTTTTAAGTCTTGTTGCTTCTTTAGGCACCATTTTTAATTACAATGTAACCTTTTTTCACGTTATAGTTATACTAATTTGCCTTGTTATCTCAATCACCTCATACTCAAAAATCTTTAGCGCTCTCAGGCACCATCAGGCTCAAGTACAAGATCATTCTCAACAACAGCCGAGCCAACCAAGTGCACTGAACGTGGCGCGATACAGAAAGGCAGTGTACAGTGCACTTTGGGTTCAACTAGCATTAGTTGTTTGTTATACACCATATGGTATAGTGGAAATTGTGCTCAGTAAAACATATTCATTGCACTTATGGGCCTTTAGGGACATAACAATTGTCTTAGTCTATTTTAACTCGACGTTGAATCCGTGTCTTTACTGCTGGAAGATCAGTGAAGTAAGACAAGCAGTAAAGCGGACAATCAGGCAAGCACTTTGCCGTCCATGAAGCTAAATCCAGCTGGAGTTAAAATCGTAAATAATTTTTAAAAAAGCTGACTTTGAAAGTCACCGGTTTTCTACAGGAAGCTCATAGGATAGATATCGTTAGAAAGAAAAAAGGGACCTAATGAAATCGTCGCGCCAGCTGTCGTTGGTATTCTTTACAGAAGACATTAATTCTAAACACTATCACCATATCGCAGGTATATTTTCCTAACGATGACACCTACCCTGAATACAACAGCACATAGTTAAAGAAAAAAATACGTACAGTATAGAAAGGAACCAGATGTTAGTTTTATTCTACCGTCTTGTCTTACACTAAATTATGGGATAAAAAGCACTAAGAGCTGTTGGAGTTCTCTTTTTCTTGACGGTAAAACAATTTCAATTATTTTCCTTTCTAAGTGAGTGCGCTTGACGTTAACGCCATATTGTCATCAGTACGAGTCAAGTCTCGAAGCCAGTTATAAACTTCAATTAAACTGAAATTTTTTTTTTATTCAAGAAATGTCCATAATGCTTATGAATTTTAGAGATGTAATTATTACTAGTAAACCAAGAGTAAGTTAGCGTCTAGAGTAAAATTAACCATCACCTGTTCTTACAGAACTCATTTCAGAATTTCTGGTTTTTCCGAATCTTAACGTATAACTTCCTCTTGTTGTGAAATAATAATACTATCACAGAAGTCTTGACCGTAATTTATTCCTATCAAAATTGAACATTAAATGTCAAGAAAAAAAAGTAGTTGTGATGCACAACAGACTCTCGCCTTAACTCTGCATAAAATTTTTACCAACTTAATTATTTTTTACTTTCGAACTGTCCCTGTTTACTTAGTAATGTAAATGTAACGTGCAACCATGAACTTAAACAAAAGAAAAATGCATATTTGTCATTCAAAAGGTATTTCATGTTTGTTTTTCTAACGAGTAAACGCTAGTCAGAAATTCTTTAATCAAAGGTTGCTTAAAAAGAATAAAATGATTGCTTAGCGAGTTGTAATAATTCCTTCATATCCATCATTTCCTATCACAATTAATAATGATAAATTGTTTTGTCCAATTTCGTTTTACGATGTGATCATCGTGATCAAGGAAATTTGGTTAAACATTTCAGAGTGTCACTAAAACAAGATTTCAAACACCTACCATATCAATGGCAGCTTCCTTAATACAAAAACAATTTTGTTTGCTCATTAATCAGACAAGAAATGAAACGAGATTATAGGGTACTACGTCCTAACTTTGTTAACCTTAAACGTGGAGAATCGGCAAATGGGAAAATATCTCCCGTGTTATCACCCAAAGTAAAGATGAAACCAGGCAAGAACTTAAGTCGCTTTTGCTCTATCTTTTGATGTAATTGACACCAATTTGATTTCTACAACTATATTGGACGTGTATGTTCAACTTCTATGCTACTGCACAGAAAGTATAAATGCAATTTCGAAGAAAACAGCTCCGACCAAGCAGCGGCTTTAATTTTCGCATGAACCTACTCGTCCCGGAGAGAAAAAAAAAGTCCAAAACTTATTTTATTGCAAGATTGATTCAAATATTTTAAAATAACTAGGTATCTGTTGTGACCGCGGCAATCGTAACTTCTCAACACCACAATTACTGATAAAATAGGCGATTTATTGACGGTGAACGATGTGGGTTGAAACTTAAAAATAATAAATGAATACAAAATTACAACAATTGATTAAGTA